GTTAGGGGGACCCCATAGAAATCTTTTATGGGGTCCCCCTAACCAACTTTCTTAGTTGAAGAAGCTGCTTGGACAAGTAGCGAAACAGCTCTAACCAAAAAGAAAAGAAGTCCAGTTGCCATGACTCAACCTCCAGACACTTAAAACACAATACAAAAAAGAAATTAAATACAAATAGCAGCCAAGAGATATTATAATCTGATGGTGTCAACATAGCCAGGAACTTGCTTTGAAATGGTCCAAATAACCAAATGCCTTTTCCTGCTCACTCAACAAGCCAACTCGCTGCATATATTGTGGAGAAGGCCAGCAATCTAACCATCTCCCCATGTGAGAAATGAAAAGCCATCTCACCAACAGAGTTGTCTTCAGTGCAGCTGCCTTCTGCAGCTTCCCCATTGGAGCTCTAAAAGCAGCCTGCCCATGATGTTCTACCAGCTGACATTTCACAGTTAAAGACACTTTCATGTTCCCACTGGCTTGAGGTCTAGCTGCCTGAAGGGTGCCTTCTGCTGTATCCATCTGCACAAGTGTTGAGGTCCTCTCCATAGCCACCCTGCGCATAGACCTTCTGAAGGTGGCAATATGGTGGCCAGGGTAGGGGTATCCACACTTGTAGTACTCTTTCCCCCAAAGAAGCATCAAATTGGATGTCCTTCTGGTGCCCATTAAAGAGTTTAATCCCTCAAGTGAGGAAGGGGAGGGGAGTTATTTGCTGCCCCCAATATTGTGCCTGCTTTGTAGCAAATGTTCCTGCCAGAGAGGAACGTTCAAAAGATGGCTAAATTTAAAAAAAAAAAGGCAGGGGGAATAGCCATCTGTTTCCTCCCTCTTTGTCATTTTTTTTTTAATCACAGGTCTTTGGGAATGGGTGGAGCTAATGATGATGGGACAAACTATAAATGTTCCTAAGATTGTGTGTATATAACATTTAATTTTTAAAATCATCATAGAGTTACAGGGCTGGAAAGGGCAATTTAGATTGTGAAGTCCAATTCTCTGCTCGCTGCACAAATCCAAATTAAAGTAAATCTAAATTAAGGTATTCCCCATAGATGTCTGTTCAGATTCTGCTTGGATACATCCAGTGAAAGGGGAGCCCACCCCCTCTGAGTAGTTGAATCTAACATCAAATTATTCCTTATGTTTGGAATGCTCTTCTAATATTCAACCAGTATATTCCTGTAACTTTAAATCCTGAAATTTAAATCCATTCTACACCGTGTTCTCAGGGATTATAGACTACAGCAATATTTCTCAACTTTAGAACCTTGAAACCGTGTGGACTTCACCTCCCAGAATTCCCCAGCCAGCCATGCTGGCTGGGGAATTC